TGCAATTATTTGCTTATACAATTCTGATGCGGAATACTTTTGATTTACTTCAATATATTCTTTGATTTCACTAGTAACATTAACATGTTGTGGTCGCGGATGCAGAATCATATAATCAAGCTTTACTAATGCTAATGAATTATATAAATCTATTTTAATTAGAAGTGCTCCTTTACAATCATATCTCTCTAATTTTGGTTCAGTGTTATGTTGCTTAGATTCATTGGTAACTTTTTTTGATTTTTTTTTCAATTCAGGACAACAATTACACCAGTAAGTATATGAGCTAATCTTTGTTCGTTGATTGAAATATTTTTTATAATAGTTATAAGAATATCCATCATTTTTTTTACAAAGTTTTACTACTTCGACTGCTAATAAACATGGATCAATTTTATCCTTACTAGTTTCATTTAATTTGTTGATCAAGCTAGAAATAGTAATTAATATTTCTAAGTTCATTTGTCCATTATTTTCATCTTCAACTTCCATGAGTTTTTTATAAACTATACTTTCAAATTCTTCCGGCTCAACAGCATTTTCGTGATCCTTGTAAAAATTATCTATTGTTTGCTCTTCACGTTTTCTTTTTTTCCCTTTATTTACACGATCCAAGCATAAAATACATGTTTTATTATTATTTTCAAAAGCGTCAACAGCTTTTGTTGTGTGACAGAAAGAACAATAACGGGTATCAAATTCCATTTTAGATTTGCGAAAGAATTTTTTTTTTTTTGTAAAATATTTTTTGTTTATACGTATATCAATGAATATATCATTAACAAATAATTACATAAATATTATATTAATAATATCAAATCGGAAAATGATTTAAACTCCGTACGTAACTGATTTGGGTGGTCATGCTTGGTTCGTAATATATTGCTAATTTAGGACTTTCAATATCAATTAATATAGATTTAAGGGTGGCATTTATGGAATTTTACCATATATATGAAACCTTATATAAGGTACCTGATACGTATTTATTTATTTGGTGCAATTATGTGAGTAATTTTATATGGAATGCCAGTGATTATATTTTATAACGAAACATTTGGCTCACATATGCAAGAGAAAATAGTACTCGATAAACTAAAGCCACCGATTTTTGAAAAAATTCTTGAAGAAATTTTGAATATAAGAAACATGTTATGTTAATTTATGCGGTTTTCGAAATCGGGCTATAGAAGTTTCGTACTGTATTTACTTAATAAATGTACTGTACTGTACTTAAATTTAGGTGTACTATATTAT